TAACTTGTATCTTAACTGTTAACTATTTGCACTGAGACTATGTCCCTATAGCATGTTTGTTCTTAAGAGAGAGGGATATGTGGTGTTCTGAGTAAGCCTCTAGAGGGAGCTCTAGTATGTGAGTTTGGTAAAAGAATGACGAGAGGTGTACACGAGTGGTGGTGAATAAAGAAGGTTACACTGAGTTCGACATGGCTGCAGTTGCTTATTATTGAGACACTCAACACTATGTAGAATTATGTTTTACATATAATTTACCCCTGTCTACACCTTTTAAACTTGTCATCAAAGCTTTATCTCCACATCAAAGCTTTACTGAGAGAGCAAGAGAGAAAACAATTATATATATAATATAATAATATAATATACACACACACATACATATATAGGAGTATTTATACGCATTTTTTTGCATTGCATTGCAAATATTTTCATTACAAGAACACATTTCTTAACCCTTTGCCTAGATTTGAAGTCTTTCTGGCTGAAATTTGCCATTCAAAAATTGAAGTTTACTCTGGGTTTATCTGGACTACTTTGACTGGCGTTTAATCAAACTTTATTTTAAAAATGTTTCTGTTATTGAATGCTGTAGTAAAAGTGAACTCAAGTTATTTGTAACCATCCATCCCTTCTACAAACTCCTTATCCTCTGCAGCGTCACGGGGATGCTGAAGGCTATCCCAGTGACTTGGGCCCAAGAGGGGAAACCACCCTAGACAGACGGCCAGTCCATCACAGAGCTCACACACAGACTTACACACATTTACACCTACTGACAATTTAGTGTCTCCAATTCACCTATGCTGCATGTCTGGATTGTGGGGGAAACTAGAGTACATGGAAGAAACCCACATAGACATGCAAATGCTACACAAAAAGGTCTCTTGGCTCAGCTTTTACTTGAACCATACTGCACAACTTCTTGTCCATGCCCTTATCATTTCTAGGCTGTACTATATGGCAATGCTCTTCTGGCTGGACTTCTATCATGTGCAATCAAACTCCTACAAATGATTCAGAATGCAGCAGCATGCCTGGTCTTCAACAAGCCCAAAGGGGCCCACGTCATTGCATTACGAGCACTTCCTGTGTTATTTGCCTCTTTATGATGAACTGCTTGTTGTATTACTCTTCTTCACTTTAGATAAAAGCGTCTGTTAAATGAATAAATGTAAATGTAATGTAAATGAATAATAAAAGCAATGTTTTCACCAACATTATTAAAATAAAACAAATAACTTTCATACTTACTTATGCCCGTCAACCTTGCCAGGGTATAGGCCACCAACCACAGATCTCCAGATTCCTCTGTCTTTGGCGATTCTTTCCAACTGGCTCCATCTTGGTGACGTCAGCCTCGAGGTCACGCCTTAACATCTGTATCTGTGCCGTTGGTCAATGATGCTGCCCACGTAGGTGAATGACTGGACTTCTTCCAGGGGACTTCCATTCAGCATGACTGGATCCTTGCTTGTGGATTTTATCTTGAGGAACATTGGTCTTATCTCTCTTAACGATTAAGCCAATCTGAGATTAACTAGTTGTCACTACATCAGTCCTCTCTTGCATCTGCTGTTTGTTGTGGGAGAGAAGTTCAAGGTCGTCAGCAAAGTCCAGATCCTTGAGCTGGGTCCACAAGGTCCTTTTGATTCAGTTCCTTCACTCTCTAGTGGGTTCCTTCATAATCCAGTCAATGCCAAAAAGAAACAGGAAGGGTGACAATAGTCATCTTTGTCTAACTCCTGTTTTCACCTGGATGCTGTTGGTGAGCTGCCCTCCATGGATGACTCTACAAGACATTTCATCATAAGATTTTCTAATCAGGTTTACCAGGCAAATAAACAAGTGAAAATATATTTTCGCAATATTTCAGTGTTCCTGTTCCTTGTGGTCTAGATACACTTTCTTGGTAGCAGAGTTAGGACATTGTTGTTGCCATGGTGAAATGTAGCTAATCTGAAAACAGTCTCCAGGAAGCTGATCTTTCTCAAATCATATTTTGAAGACACTTCTAACACATTTTTTTTTTTCATTTTAAGTTTAAACATGTATTCAACAAGGCACTTTAAAACTAAAAGTACATAGACATGACCTATTCTTGTTTTGTCATGTTTAATGTATGCAATCCACATTCTTCTTCTTCTTTCGGCTTCTCCCGATTAGGGGTCACTACAATGGATCATCCGTTTCCATTCTTCCTCCATCACCCCATCACACCAACCACCTTCATGTCCTCCATCACCACATCCATGAATCTCCTCTTTGGTTTTCCTCTTCTCCTCCTGCCCAGTGGCTCCATCCTCAACACTCTTCTCCCAAAATACCCCGCATCCCTCCTATGCACATGCCCAAAACAGTCCTGCCTCTCTCACTTTGTCTACAAACTGTCCTACCTGCGCTGTCCCTCTAATATGCTTATTTCTGATCCTGTCCATTCTTGTCAATCCCAAAGAAAATTGCAGCATCTTCAACTCTGCCACCTCCAGCTCCTCCTTTTTTTTTTTTTTTTTTTGTCAGTGCCACCACCTCCAAGCCATAGGACATAGCTGGTTTTACTACCATCTTGTAAATTTTCCCTTTCACTTACCCTTCTTGTTTACTTCTCTACCACACTCTCCATTACTTTGGATAGCTGACCCCTAGTATTTAAATTCATCCACCTTCACCATTTCTGCTACTTGTAACTGCTCCTTTCTGCTGCACTCTGTCCCATTTATGCACATGTACTCTGTCTTGTACCTTCACCTCATCACCTTGAACCAATCTGTCATACCCACCGCACACCTCTCCGCTGTCACACTGTCCTCATACATATCCAACATCCCTCTCACATACTTCTCTCCCACTCCCGACTTCCTCATACAGTACCACAACTGCAATCTACATTAATAAAGTAAATTGTATTGTTGTTGCAGTTTTTAAAAACCACCGTTAGATGGCGCCAGATGACCAAATGAGAAACATACCGTATGAAGTTTAATGTTTTATTGGATTGTGTTTGCAATACCTTTAAATCCAAGTTAAAAGTATGCTCATAAATATAATTTCTAGCAAATTAGAGCTATTTTGAGGCTCTCTTGGAATCATAAGAGAAAAAGTAAAATGTATTATTAAAGTGGACATGTTGAAACTTTGAATAGACAGGTCTGACTCCTGCTGACTTTAGTACAAAAGGGTATCTACTATTTTCCAAAAGAGGGCGCAGGAGAACTTCAGGTGATTTAGAAGGAGAACATTTACATGACAATATTCTCTAATCTAGAAATTGACACTCACATTTCATGGTTGGCACAAAAATTTTAACAAATTAAATTAATGAAATAGTCAGTAGTCTTGTCAATACTGATATTAAAGAACTAACCGATGTCTTGAATGAGTAAAAGAAAACCTACAACAAAACTCGGATCTGTTTTTGACGGATCAACATTTTAATGTTTTTATCATTATTATTATTATTATTATTATTATTATTATTAATATTAGTAGTATTAT